TAATGCAGAAATTATACATTACGCAAAAAAGATGGAAAAGTGAAATATAAAAGCCCTAAAATGCAATGCCACAAAGAAATGCTACAGATCCTACCTCGGAAAATATGCCTAAACTTCCATTCAACATCATGGAGATCCCTAGCAATAAGTTCCTGCGCTGGTGGCTGTAACGAGAAATCCTGCAGGATACAATAAAGGGGTTTAAAAAAAAAATATCAGCAACCAAATACGGTCAAATAAAAGAATAGAACAGACAACAAAAGTTTGAAAAGGGAAATACCAGTGGAGGAAAAACTTTTTCCGCAGCACGACGAGGAACAGAGAAACCTCCATGTGTACTAGTATCACTCGCTGTCAATGTCTTGCAAAAGTAATTTGTGGGTTGCTTGCTTGGAATTCCTAACTCCATTGGAAGAAATGTTTCTTTTTGCTCTTGCTGTGTGAGAATGTGTGTGGTTTCAACAACATTACAACTTATTAGTTAAGCTAAAACTCAAACAAATTAAACCAAAAAAAAGACCAAGAATAAAAAGAAAAGAATAATTTACCGGCGTCAAGGGCTGTAATGTCATTTGGGCATATACTTCATCTGTCTCCACATCTGCCTGAAATCCAATGCTTAATCAATTCCATTTGGGTTCCAATTTTTAACTTTTTTTTTCTTTCTTCTAGAAGAAATAAACAAGTAAGAGTGATGTAGCTGAATCAAAATTCACAAAGACAAAGGGAACCCACATGCATTGTGACATTGTGCAGCTGACAGATCAACTGGGGCGGCAAGCTCGGGTAGTTTGGTATGTGGGCATCAACTTGTTTGTTAGTAGTGGCAGCAACCTGGTCACTGTGGCCCTGAGGGAAGTAAACAACACGAGTTCCAGGCGTTGGCAGGGAAACCAGAGGCCCTGCGCATGCATGCCATAGCTCCGAATTCAAGCACTTCTTTTCGGCTCCTCCTCCGGCTGCTGTCATTTTTAAGCTCAATTTTAATTTTTTTGTTTTTATTCTCAAAAAGCAATAACAATGACAACAACAATAGTAATGATTGAGATTTGAGAAAAGTTAAACATAGAAATCAGAAATATAATAAACAAAAGCAGAATATGAGGAAATTTTAAAATAGGGTTACCTTCATGATCCTGCTGACCCAACCCTGATGTTGAAAGCTTCATATCAATATAACTATCAATATCAACCTTAAACCTTTCTCTATCTATATAAAAACCATAATAGAAAACCCTAATTTTACAGAACCAGCCATAGCCATCAAAGAGAGAAAATGAGCTCTACTGACAACTACTGCTACTTATTGGCTTCAAGTCACCCCCTTTCTTCACCATGCTCGACAAAATTAAGATCCTTTTTCCTACTTAGTCCCAAATTGAAGCCCCAAATGGAGTAAACCCCTCCCTCCATAGAAACATCATGCTCTGCTCTAAAAGATCGCCATGGAAACAAGCAACAGCTGAAGCAGGAAGAAAGCTCTGAGAGACTACCCAAAGTGGGTTGTTTTAGTAAAAAGCTTTTTCTTCCTCCTTTTCCGGTCTATCACTGTCCATTCGATTCAAACCCCAAAGTGAGAGAAAGAGAAAAGGAAAGAGAGAGAAAGAAAGAGAGAGAAGAGAGGAAGATTTTGCTTTGAAAGTTGAAACTCACAGTGAGAGAGGAAGAGAAAGAGAAAGAGTGATGGTCTTTACTCTTTCCCCTCTTATAAGGGTCCCGACCGAGCTGGACCTCATACCAGAAGAGAGAGTCTGGGAGCGTTATGGGAAAGCTCTAATCTCGGCCGTCCACGGATCCGTACTTTTTAATCTTAACCGTCTACTTTGAGACTGATGTGACAGCAGCCATGTGCCACCATACTTCAGTGGTCCTTGTCAGAGTACGGACTATGTTTTAAAGTGTTACGTAATATTTTGTTAAAAAAATTCCTCATCATCCTGTTATTCATACTACAATAAAAAATCATCATACTAGAAAAGAAAAATGACCCATCCTACCCAACTCAAGAAAAAAAAAAAGTTATGGGCGTTATATATATATTTTTTTGTTGAACAAGTGATATTCTAATTACTTTAATAAGCGAGAAAGAAAATCGACTTCAGGTGCAAGAAACACGCACATTTACTTTAAATAACTGATCTAACTCATATCTGTTATATTATAGCCATTATTTAACACACACATTTTCTCACAACTTTTTTTGTTTGAACCTCAAGTTTGCGTGGCATTTACCCAAGCACTTTGAGTAGATATCAATTTGTATGGCATTTATGTGATTATATTGCCTTTTTAACCCAACTCTTTTTTTTTAATTTCTAAAATTCCCAAGTAATATTGTTTTTCCTGAGCCCAACCTGGTCTCAACCCCAGCCCAGCCCAAAACTTCAGCCCCACTAACCGTTCAAGCTCCCCCAGTCCCACTCTCCTTTATTTTCTCTCTCTATCTCTTCACATGCTCTCTGTTCCTCTCCATCTCCAGCCTCTTCTAGTAGCTGCAAATCATCTTCTCCTCTTCATAATTTCTTCTTCCAGTCTTGTTCTTGTTGTCCTTTTTCTTCCAACCCACCCATCTTCTCCTTTCCTCTACCGTATCCCCAATCCCAATCTTTATCTTCTTCTCTAATCTTCTCCAATCCTCTACTAATCCCAGGTTGGTTCTAACTTTAATTCTTGATTCATTCTTTGTACATGAAGCTCGCCAGAACAATGGCATTCAAATCGGCTATAGTGCAACCCAAAAACCCACCACACTTCAACCCCACATTTTCTTGCTGCCTGAAACCATCCTTTCAGTTCAGGGAGAAGCCACTGAAGGATTTTGAATTCAATATCAAAAGAAGAATTGGGGCAATAGCAGCAGTAAGTTGGGCACTAATGGCGGCGAAAGAAGCAATTTTTGTTGAAGCTGCAAATGGATTTGACTTGCAACTGGTAGCACCTGGTCAGACAATTGAAGAGGCAGAGAGTGGAATCAAAGGGCATGCACAAGCTCTGTTACAAGTGAAAGAGCTCATAGATTTAGAGTCATGGAGAGAAGTACAAGTGGCTCTCAGGAAGAGCTCATCAGTCTTGAAACAGGACATTTATACCCTAATTCAAGCAAAACCTGCAAATGAGAGGCCCCAACTGAGGAAACTTTATTCTGACCTCTTCAACAATGTGACCAGAGTAAGTTTTTGCCATTTCCACCCAATAAACATAGGATTTGACAAAACTATTTCAATTGACTTGACCAAGTTTTTTGTGCATTGCAGATTGATTATGCAGCTAGGGATAAAGATGCATCATATATCCGACAATGCTATGAGAACATTGTTGCAGTTCTGAATCAAATTCTATCTAGAATATAAAGTATCAAGTAATTGTTCCCTTCCTTATTTTCTTCCCTGCAAATTATATGCATCAAAAGATGTTGTGGAGGAAATTAATTGAAGCATAGCCACTTAAGGTCGTCTGTTAACAATGAGTTATTTTTCTTTATGAGTAAGCTTTTGTATCCTTTATAGAAATTGATCAATTTGCTGAAAGCACTTTTTACAACAGGATCATTATTTTATGATGCAATCCTCTTCCATAAGGCTTCATTTGCCGAAATTGTAAAACCGTAATTCTTTTGTTGAATATGAGTTTCTCGTTCTTGGATGAATGGTTCCTGTGGGTCAGACACACACCAGAATTGTAAGTTATAACTGAGGGTTCTGTTCTGTGCAAGTCACCGTCTTCTACAATTGTAATATTTCTAGATTACCTTATATATAATTAAACTAGATCCCACATATTTTAATTTCCTCTACACCAACTGGTACTTTCTTTCCAACGTTGAAAGATATCCTAAATTTAAATCCTCCACTCTCAATAAAAATAAAAATAAAATCCTCTACGCATAGAGTCGTATATAAGAGATCAGAAAAATAGCATGCGTCTTTAAATAGGCATACGTGCCCTCAATTATTCTGAAAATTACAAAGTTATATAATAAGGCAGCAATTTCAACCCTACAGCTTGTTTGCTGTCTTGCTTACCAGAGAAACACACCTGTGCGTCTTCAATCTGCTTCTAGTAGTATTCTGCTCTTAATTTGTGTTGATGTCTTCTAGCTAATTGGCGATTAAGCACTAAGTAAGCATGGCGGAAATTTTCCTTACTTTTGCTGCTGAGTACTGAAGAAGGTGGCTTCGCTTGCGGCTCAAGAATTCAATCTTGCCTGGGGATTCAAAGCAGAGCTGACAAGGCTTAGTGAATCTTTGAACATGATTCAAGATATCTTAAGTGATGCTGTGGAGCAACCGCAAGGTCGGGGCAAGGCGGTAGAGGAGTGGGTGAAGAAACTTAAACATATAGCTTATGATGCTGATGATGTGTTGGATGAGTTCAAATATGAAGATCTTCGGCGTAAAGTAGGGCTCCGAAACCAATTCCACATAAAGGTATTGATCACCTTGTTTTCACTCTCCTATCCCAGTGCTTTTCATCTTAAAATGGCACATAAAATTAAGATCATAAATGCATCCTTGGTGAATCTGGAGAATAGAGCATCTGTTATTGGATTAGTTGCAAAAAATGTTATGGCTACAACGCAGTACGTCCCTCGTGGAATTGTAGGGGACAAAGAAACCAACTCATTCTTAGATAAAGATGAAAACTTCGTTGGAAGGAAGGAGGTTGCGTCAAGTATAATTACAACCTTGATCAACTCCAAAAATCTAGAAAATGTTTCCATTATGGCCATTGTTGGAATGCCAGGCCTAGGAAAGACAACTTTGGATAAGTCAGTGTACAATGAATTTGAGACAAATAGACACTTTGATAAGAAAATATGGGTGTGCGTCTCTGACACTTTGGTCGTCAATTCTATATTGAGTCGGATGCTAGAATCCCTTAACCCAACAAGGGTTGGGATCACAAGTCAGGATGCATTGCTTTAAAACCTTCAAGGAAATTTGAAAGGAAAAAGATATATTCTTATACTAGATGATGTTTGGAATTAACATTCTCAAAAATGGAGCAATTTGATGAGTTGCTTGGCAAAACTTGATTCAGCTCAGGGAAGCAACATTATTGTCACTACCCGTAGTGCCAAAGTTGCATCAATCACAGAAACACTTACTAGATGTGGTTTGGAGAATCTATCAGATGATGAGTGTTGGTCAATATTGAAGGATAAAGCATTTCTTGACGGTAGTGCTTCTATAACTCCTGATCTGG